CAAATGGAGAAATCCAGCGACTCCAAGTCCGGAGTTCTGGGTGGCCAAGAAATTACGCTCCCAATGGTGGAGCCCAGGGGAGCAAAAGTGGTCACATCAGAAAGCAAATTGTTCTCCCAAAAAGAGAATTGTTGGTTTGTTCTAGTAGAAAATTGGGAAAACGTAAAAGATTTCAGTGCAGCAAGTTTTCAGCGTTTGTAGAATTCAATTTTCTCAAAAAAAACCTGACCCAAAAATCTAATTAATGTAAATGTCGAAAAAAAGTACCGCCACTCGGTTTCGAAAAACTGCAACATTTGCTGGTTTTCCACTCGTACAACACAGAGCAAAATCACAAAACATGCCTGGTTGTTTGCACTCAAACTCTGCAAAATGTCGTTAAAATATCCCCGGCGGTTTCCGAAATAATCATAAATTTAAGTTTGTTAATGACAACGTTTCAACACCTTGGGAAAATTCAGGATTTTAGTCAAAAATTGTACGGAAGCAAATAAATTTGCCAAAAAAGACCTAAAGCACAGTATTTTTTTTACTTTTTACACCCTCCGATACATAACCACCCCCGAAGGGTGGAACATGCAAGCAGAGTGGCGCAGTGGAAGCGTGCTGGGCCCATAACCCAGAGGTCCGTGGATCGAAACCACGCTCTGCTATTAATTTTTGGACAAATTTCTAATATTTAAGGGCTTCTCTCGCCCTCAACAACCATCAAAGTTTTCAGTCTCTAGCTCAGATAATGATGACAAAGCCCTGAATAAAATTACGACTTTTAACACCGTGTGTTTCCGAAAATCCCATTGTCATTGAATCACCCGGTATAAAGTTGCAATTTGTCTTCAATTCGGCCGATTGTTTATGTGTTTATCACGCATTATTGGATCGTCCTAGACTAAGACTCAAAAATATGACTAACAGTCTCAATCAGGAGTTCTGCTTAAGAAGAAACGGACTGTTGATTTTGGCGTTGTGACACTGAAGAACCAACAGAAACACATGGAGTTGAAACTCTTTTAATTAAAGAAGCAACAAACTGCTAATTTGGAAGGTGATAGTGAGACTAAAGCACCAAGAGGGACACAAGCAGGTGAAGAAGAAACTTCCTTAATTAAAGAAAAAGTGCGAGTAAAACTGAAGAACCAACAGGAACACATGGAGTTGAAAAATAAACTGTTTAAT